AGAGGTCGTGTCGGGAGGTAGCGATCGAGCGACTGAGCTAGCTGGTGCGCAATGGGCTGTCCGGATCGCCACGGCCAGCTCAGGCAAGAACGACCTGGTAGGATTCGGAGTGGCCACACGACTGCCAGAGTCCAGCTCGGCAAAGAACAAGTTTATGCTACAGTCAGTCACCCTTGGAACGAGAGAAGAGCAAAACCCGTACACGGCGGAACTGGCAGCAATGACACGGGGCCTGCGAAAAGTACCGCAATACCTTAGGCAGCGAGTAGTTGTGATATTCACAAGCAACAATGCAGGGTGAGCCATCTGTCTGCTGGCAGATCTGCCGCAGATCTGCTAACAGATCAGATGGCAGACAGATGCGATTTTGAGCCACCCAGCAGACGCAGATTCTGATCTTTTGGGGTACCGGCAGATCAGAAGCAGATACGATCTGGGATTAGCAGACAGATAGCAGATCTGCGCAGATCTGCTAGTGCCAAGATCGTGACCCTTGCTGCCGCCCCTGGCCCGGGCCCCGATGCTAGCCAATACTTTGACTCTAGGTGGATTTTGTGTGGAAACAACCCCCTAAAACTTTTCATCAGTCAACCTGGGAGTCTGATCTGAAGCTACAGGAGCTCAACACTAAAATGGGTTCACCCACGCCTTTAGGAACACCTTCTTCACCTACTTCGTCTGTTGCATCTACGCCAACACCACTTAACCGTGAGCCTGAATCGTTCCCTGATTATTCTATTTGGACGCCAGATCGCTTTGCAGCCTTTCCAGGCCTGGGACTATACCATGAGCCCAAGAAAGAACTCAAATGGTGGTGGAAGTATGGTTTTCGACTCAAGGACCCCAAACGGCCGTTGAAGCTACAGCAGATCTGGGTGTGCGAGGCGTGTCTTCTTGTGAAAAAGAAAACCGCATTCGTGGCCAGTGGTAGTAGATCTATAGAAAAGCATCTCAAAGAAAATCACAGGGTGGTAGAGAAGGGGGTAAGTTACAAGGCAAATAGACTTAGATCTGCGAACTTACACCACAAATCCCACCTAGAAGAATGCACCTACGTCTACGCCGTCTTCACAACGTACGCTTGACTCCATGGTCGACTTTTCACAACCACAGCAGCAGGCACTCCACGGGCAGCTCGCGATTCGTTTTAACAAGGCGCTAAATAACCTCTTGATTTTGGACTGGCTTTGTTGTTCAAATCTGCCGTTCAGGATCGTAGACAACCCTCGCTGGCGCCGTCAACAACTGTACAACAACCCGATACTAACCGAGCAAGACCTACCACATTCAAAGACCATCGTCCGCTTACTCCTGGCCGAGTACAAGCGAGCAGTACCCCAGATCAAGAGCTTCCTACGGACAGCACGTAGTCAAATTCATCTAACTTTTGATGGCTGGACCTCGAGAAAGTTTATCTTGTTTATAGGAGTCCACGCTCATTTCGTGGACAAAGACTTCAGGAAATGGACCATATTATTAGGTCTTCCTGCCCTGGTCAAGCGTCACACGGGGTCTGACGTCGCTGACGAGGTTCTAGCGGTAATCCGCTTCTTCGAGATCGAGGATTTGGTAGGCTACTGCACCTTGGATAACGAGTCGAAGAACAAGGCGACTATGGTAAAGATTGGTGAAGAACTTGGTTTCGATGGTGTTGAGCGGCAGATAAGCTGTGCTCCGCACGCGTTGCAACTCGCCGTTCGTGCCTTGCTTTATGGAGATGGGTGTAAACGGCTGCCGCTTGATCAGGTATTGGAAACCTGGCTTCAGGAAGAATTTGCTGATGAGCGTCAAGAAAACGACGCTTTAGAGCGTGCCTTTGGCGCCGTGGCCGTGAATCTGGAGGGGGAGGAGGAGCAGGAGGAGGAAGACGACGATAATCTTAATCAGCAGGATTCAACTAGCGAAGATGATACAGGCAGCGATTTTTCGGATACTGGCAATTCTTCTGACTGTAGCGAATCTGATGGTGAAGACGAGACTGGGGTATCTGAAGCTGAAGTTGAAGCTTTAAGCAGCGCTTTTGATTACCTCACGCCAAACCAGATCACCACCAAGACCATGGCCAAGTATAACAAGAATGGCCCGTTTGGTAAGCTTCACAACCATGGCAACTGCTTTCACAGAAGTAGTCAGCTCGTTGGCGCCCTCCGCCAGATTCAGCGCGATCTCGACCCTCAAGCGACAGTCAAGGAATGGATCCAAAATAATGCAACGCGGTGGCAAAGCGACGAGGCCATGGCGGCGCGCGCCTTGGAGCTGAAGCAGGTAATCAACCGGCTGCATCAGAGTTTAACAGACCACTGGGAAGGTGCTGGGTCGAAGCAGGGTGATAAGCCACCAATCCTTGAATTTAGATTGGGTCCCCAGGACTGGCGAGTGGTTGAAGCAATTCAGAAAATCCTCCAGCCATTCAAAGTCGCTTCGAAAAAGCTTCAGGGCAACGGACCTGCTGGTGCGCTTGATCAGTATTTTCCACAGATGGAATACTTGCTTCTTCACCTGGAGGACTGCGCTGCTGGCAATTGCTATTCTGAGAGGATTGATCCTGAAAACCCTGCTGGAGATCCCATCCCAGAGAACGTAAAGCTATTCGCGAATCTGAGTAACCAGCAACGCCGCTTCTTAAAGGCTTACATCAAGGTAGGCCTTTGGAAACTACAACATTACTATGACAAGCTTGTCAACTTGGCCTATGCTGCCGCCGTAGTCTTCAACCCCAATATGAAGATGGCTGGGTTGCAAGGTATTTTTGATGCTGAGCCTCAGCGGCAACAGCAATCTTGGCGAGACCACTACCTTGGCCAGTTGAGGACGAGATGGACTGAGAACTATAAGACTCGGTAAGCTGCGGTGGTGACCAATCTTCGTTCCAGCTAATCCTCTCCCAGACCGTCGTCTAGCTCCGACGCACCAACCCCTGCCAACCAACAGCCAGTACTCACAATGCTTCGACGCCGGAAGCGATTTTACCAAGCCGACGCCGCCAGCGAGGTCCCTGATTCACAAGGAACACAAGACACGCAGCAAACGGCTAAAAGGAGGAAAGGTAAAAAGGCAACGCCAATCAGACGTGAAGATACACCAGACGACGAGCTTGAACAATACCTGGCAGCGCCTATCAACGACCTATCGGCCTACTTCGACGACCCAGTGGGCTGGTGGCGTGACGTTGGCGCCAGGCGTTTCCCGACCTTATCTTATATGGCGGTGGACTACCTTTCCATCCCTTCAGCCCAAGCAGAAACTGAGCGCCAATTCAACAGCGTGGGTGAGATGGTATCGGCCAAAAGAACTCACCTTGCTCGTCACGTTATTGGCGCAAGCCAATCTATCAGGTCTTGGAGCAAAGTGGGCGTGTATAAGCCCGAATTACCGCTTGATCTGCTAGATAAGCTACCAAATACGGCGTTGGATTACGATACTACGCGTGAGCTGGTTGGCTGGGCGCGACGGCGCTAATACGGGTGTGAGTCGGTTTGCTGGCTATATATAGACACAACAGATCTGTGGCAGATCTGCTGGCAGATCTGCCATCTGCCAAGTATCTGATCTGCCAGATCACCACCCAGCAGATATCTGCATCTGTTGCCAAGGGACTCAGCAGACAGATGGGCCATCTGCTTCTGCTTCTGCTGAAAAATCCTAGCAGATCAGACAGATGGCTCACTCTGCAACAATGGTGCTGCTCTGAGTATGAAACAGCCACGGCATCAGTCGGGCCAGAAGGAGATCACCGACTTTTACGCGTCCGTGGCTCAACTTGGAAAGAAGAGAAACAAGATCATCATTGTTCAGAGGGCACAGGAACATGCAGAGAATCAAGATGATGACGAAGTTGTTGATGATGATACCCGCCGTCATGCAGATGATGGTATTTTCGCCTTAGTGCGGCTGGCCAAAGAAGCTGCGCGAAAAGCGACTCTTCCAGGCGGTCCGCCTCGCGCAGCGCCATTTCGGGCCAAATCGACCACACTAAACAACGCCAGAAAGACACTCAACAGACCAGAAGCATTGCCAGACAACATTGGAGCGTTCTCGAAACGGATCGACACAGCACTACCAGGAAGACATACCCGGCTATTATATGACGCGTTGTCATGGAAGGAGGCTAGCGTTCTGGTCCAACTACGGACAGGAATGGCGAGGCTCAACTATTACCTAGCACAGATTGGCGCGGTCGCTTCACCACAGTGTGATTGTGGACATGCGAAAGAGACGGTAGAGCATTTCGTCCTGCATTGCAGAAAATGGACAAGCCATCGCAAAGACCTACTCAAATACACACAAAACAGAAGTGGGAGCATTTCGTTCCTTGTAGGCGGAAAGACGAACAGCGACGACAAGGACTGGACACCAGACATGGAAGCGGTTCAGGCTACGATCAAATTCGCCATGGCGACGGGTCGTCTACAGTTCACAGTGAAGGGAATGGACAGTTCAGAACAATAGGATAAAAGCGGGCACAATAGTGGAGGTATCTGTAATGTATACTAACCCAGTCAGCAGGTCGCGCTTCAGTCGCCGAGGATAGGACTCTGAACACTTGGAGAAGTCAACTTCAAGCAGATCTGCTATGCACTAACAACTAACAGTATCATACAGGGATGCCATGGAAGAGAAATGGACTGAGACGAAAATCAATTAGTCTGTGATTATGGGCTCAAGTCGGAGCTAGGACGGAAACTTCAGAAGCGATTTTGTACTATAACGTTAGTTGCCCTCTAGGGGAATAACCCGGGCGTAATAAATGTGTGTGTGTGTGTGTGCATTTGTAACGTACACACGGCCCCCAAACAGCTTTATTAGCAATAAATATGCGTTCCATCGACTGCGGATGAACGACGGCATCTGGGACCTGAAATGGCGTCCCACACTCATGTGGGGGATCTACCCTTTCGGTGATGAGTAAATCGAGCCTATGGACTACTGCCCTGGTCGAACATTTGGAGGCGGGAACCAAACGAATAGCCTTGTCTAAACAAGAGTCCTCATTCGATCCACACTATCAAGGAACAAGACTGGCCCAAACGCGACAAACACAAGTACTACGGTCATTGTTGATCCGTTCGCAACGAGTTGTGCACCTCGATAGTCAATTGTCCAGATAGCGTTACGTTACAGTACAGGATGACGTGTGTGTGTCAGCACACTTCAATGAGGCTGCTGTTTCTAGTTGTTGGGGCCAATAGCCACTTTGGGTTGTGCACTGAAATCGGCCTTCAAAGCAAATGCTAGAGTGGGACGTGAAAGAGCCACTGTTGGTCGACAATTGGAAGCGGGAACTAAACCGAACCCTTGTCCGAACAAGAGCCCTAAATTGATCCTAGGACATCCACGCCATCAGAAATAACTACGGTCAGTATTCATCCATTCGCAACCATTTGTGTGTACTCGATTGTCCAGATTACGCTACGTTACAGGATGACGTATGGGTGTCCGTTTATGTCACTAAGACTAAGGCCACTTCTGAAAGTTGGCGCCTTTCATTGGTTGACAACATGCGTTCACGACAGAAAGCGAGAAAGAAACAAGACAGGAAATGGCCTCATGCACGAAGTCTGCCGATGAGGGTTGAGAAATGGATGGGTCCTTTTTCAGCCATTGGACCTCATCGCGGCGGCTTCTTCGCTCAGGACCTGCCAGCTGGAGACTGGTGGCTGGTGTCCAGTCCGGTCCATGATCAAGCTCTGGGGTCCACTTTTGTTCTCGATCGCGAACGTGCTGTTTCTGCACCCTCTGGCCAGAAGCTGGATTGATCGCCTCACTTAAAGTAGCCCGGCATGGCATGAGCCCTGCTTCTGAGCGTACTTTTCTCGTGCTGTACTCATGAGACCACTGTTCGTCATTGAGACGCGTAGACATGAGATTTGCGCAAGTCCGGGTTCCCTTTCCCACTCTTGATCTTTCTTGGCTGACTCTAAGCAGCAAGCTCGTTTTCTTAGCGCGAACGCAAGCGTGTCAACGACAACTCAGCCTAACTTGAGCAGCCAAAATGCTATATTCCTAGCAGGTCATTCACGCAAGAGAACTATCGTTTATCATTTATCACTGTATATTTGGTTCATTTGCAGTTTACGTGACGGTATGGATCTATTCATGTAATTTATGTCAAGTGATAAATTTGCAGAACATGGAAGCGCCATAGTTCCTGCAGTTTCCCTTCGGTGATATGCCTGCTTATCGTCACAGTCAAGAAGCCCTGTGTGCTCCGAATGGGGAACTCGAATTGGTCTGTTGTGAGCGCGTCGTATTCATCTTCGCAGTGCTTTTGGTTGTGTATATCCATCGAACGAAGTCCTACGCGAAGATGCTGTGGAGTGACCTTATGTGGTGCTTTGTACTTGGGGAATCTATCTACCAAAATAGATGAAATATAGAAATAGATAGATGTAGTCTACATCTATCTATCTACCACGCCACCATGTGGGTCATCTGTCTATCTACTAAACCTCATCCATGTAGATGAAATGTAGATAGACGCTTTTTTTTTGGTGTCTAAGTACAGGTACTCCGACATCCTAGTATATGAAATTTTCTTTTCGAGCGACTAATTGCTTTTTTTCGACCACAGAATTTTCCCTTGGGTGTTTTCAGTGCACTCTGTCCCGCATGGTGTCTTCCACGTGCTCTCGAGACTTCACCACCCTTGACTGATTCTTCAAGTTCAGCAAACGATCATACCCAATTGTCTGGAAAACCCAGCTATGCAGCCCCACCAATGTCAAACTCGTCTCCAGCCTCACAGGTTCAGTAAGTTAATAATACTAGAAGATTGGGATACTGCATCACCATCTGTCCGCGCGTGTCGGACTCTTTGGACCAGAAAAGATGTTATCTTAGAAACGAACGCGCCTTGACGCGAGTACAATTTCTGTTGCCCAAATAGTCAACTCATGGCTTAAAGCAGTGTTTCTGGACGACTACGCCAGATGACTACAGCAGGTTGAAAATGGAGCTGGAATTGTGGACTAGAGATCATGCCAAGCCTTGGCAAGTAGATGACAATCTACCTGATCTATCTATATCTACATGTAGACTACATCTATCTATCTACCTGCCCATTCATGACTAAGCATCTATATCTATCTATTGAAGGTGTTGGTAGATAGATATAGATAGATTCCCCACCCTGTAAATTTGTTCATGCAACTAGATAATGGTCTTTACGACAGATAAACTATGTACAGTTGCGGCTCTGCATTGGCTCTGCTCAATCTCGACCGAGGATCTCAGTCAAGACGAACAAGTTCGTAGCCAGCACTACCTACAGGTTGCACAGGCCGCCTTCGCTGGCCGGTACACAGGGTTGGACATCTGCGACCACCGCAGGAACGTGAGGAGATAGGACGTCTGCGAGAAAGGAGTAATCCATCCCCGGTAAATGGATGTTCGAAGTAAGCGTCGGAAGAGCAAGTGAATTTTACTCGCTTCCTGGGCCACTGGGGCTCGGGTGTAATCTGCAGTCTTCAATCTGTTGCTCCTCGAGTTGGTGCTCAGTGGGCTGGTTAATTACTGTTGTGGACGACAGTTCTTGAAAGGGTCGTATCCGATCGTTGATGCGCAGATCTTAGTCGTTTTGCTGCTGTTGCTGCTGTTGCTGCTGTTGCTGCTGTTGCTGCTGTTGCTGCTGTTGCTGCTGTTGCTGCTCACGCTGCCGCTTGGCACTGGGACCGAATTTCCTATCGGAGCAGGATGATATGAGGAACGTGTGTAAGGTTGCTGCGGGACTGGGCCTGGAAGCAGAACGGAGGTTGATAAGAGAGGTTGTTGGTATTCTCAGGATTGCTCGATCAACCGCTTAAATCGACATAAGCATGGGCCCTTTGGTGCACCATGGCAACAACGATTGGCCATTTGCTTGCAGCGCATGCAGTTTTGTAAATCGATCGATCAATGAATCAAAATGCCTAACAAATCTTCACGCATATAGAGATAGCGTTGTGCATCTTCTCAATTACGTGTCTTATCTATATTAATGTCAGAGTCAAGTCAGAGTCAGCTCGTCGCACGACAGCTTTGGCCGCCGCTTCAGGAATGAAGTTGCAACTGCGCCTAATGCCTCTGGTTGAGGAGGACTAAATCAATCTACTAGAGCAGAAAAATCACATGGCACTGGTCATCCTTGCCCATTGTGCTATCGTACTACAAGCGGTGCGAATTGCGACGGTGGTGTGTGAACTGGATCGTACCGATTCGTATCAGCGATTGCGACCATACTTCCTGGTGATCTCGTCCAAGCCATTGCTTTTTCCGTCCATACAAATATTGAGGACCGGGAAACTCAAAGAGGCGCTACTACAGACATTGCAGTTGTCAAGCAACGTGCCTGTCAAGTGACAATTGAGCTACTATTTAGGACTAGTGTACCCATCAACCTCCCCCATTAATTTGCGATTCTTGAGGGCTGTTCGGCTGACTCTCCCCTCAAAAGATTTCGTTTCCTAGTCTATCAGCCGTGAGGTTATACCCAAACACTGCTACATCATCAACCCTGTACCGAACAGATCATGTCAAGTTCAGAATGGCCTTCGTCCTACTGGCTCCACCGGCGCTCCGCATCAGGTGCCGAGGTGCACCGGCCGCAGGTGGAGCCTGACAGATTCAACTTTTTGTCCTTCCTCGCCACGGCTCAGACCCTGGGTATTTTAACAAAAATACACTCGTAGCAGCCTTGCTTAAATAGAGGCAAACCCAGCTGCTTTTATAAGCGCTTGACTGGGAAAGCATGTCTGGTCGTGCATCTTAATCAGCCAGAAGGGCGGGTTTTGAAGCTCCTGCACCCCAGCTGCAAGCCACTGAGAACTACAAATAAATCTGCCTAGATTTCTGTCCCAAGTACTTAGAGTATCCTCCCCAAGGCCATTAGAAGTGTGGCCAAAAGTACTCCCGGCAAATAGATAATCCGATAATTGCTGACCCAGGAGCCGCTGGGTATCAATCAAGAGGTTCTCCTTCTTTGCAACGGCTTCTAGAATATAGAGTGCCCGCTGGTCGGAGGCGTGGCACGCAGCTATTTTACCCAGGTCGGCCATAGCCCGTTCAACGGCGCTTGCAACTTGGAAGGAAAGCAATAAGTGACCCTGATTCGTCTTATCGTGCGGGCTTAGATTAGGGTTGACTGAAAGATGCATGATTGATGTTGCGAAAAGGAGGGTCGGCACAAAGCTAGGTATGCGTTGTAGCGTATGGAGTGCCGAGTAGGAGTGCAACAAGGCTGATATGTTGTTTGCAGCTTCGAAACAAACATCCCGCGGGAGAATATTCGAGCCAGGGATTGAAAGCGTTACAAAGGGCCGGAAAAGTAATAGGACGGCGAAATAATAGTACATGCTATTGAGTTTAGAAAGAAATCTGTCCTAAGAGCTTATATCATACTGCGTAAATAATACTGCCGGAGTAGAGGTATGCCCAAGCCGCAAGACATCGGGTAATAAGTCATACCAGCTCAAATATTTCGTATAAACAATCAGAATTTCTCTACTTGTAGGTGGATGATCTGGACGAAGGAGGGTGTAAAGCGTTTCGTGGATCAGCTTGCTAAGGTCGCAAATGCCCGAGAAGACAGAGCCAGTATGCGATACCTGTTTAAGTGACTGGAGGTTGCCGACTGTGAAGATTAAGCATATATAGGTAATTCTTTACTTCGAAGAACATACTCTCATCCGTATAAGGGACCCATAAGGCATCCTCGGCGTCAAGAAAAGTCGCCGGCTTCGGTGGCAAACGAGCTGTAAACGTTGACGAGCAACAGGGCAGAGAGTGCGATGTAAGAGCCCATGCACTAGAGGCATTAGCTGGTGACAAGCACGATAATGCTGTATATATATTATATATACATAGCTCACTGATGTAATGCGAAAGCACCCCAAAACGTAGCGTTTTTGACACTGAACTCGTCGTTGTCTGCCGTTCTGTCAGGACGCTGCAGGCCCATTTCGATAGCTAATCTTATGCTCTGTGCGGAATAATGTGACTTTCAGAGTCCTTCCGCAGCTCAACTGGCGAAGCGACATTATACTTAGAGCTTGGATGGTAGTTAAAGTGTGGTGATTTTCTTCGGCATCAAGTAGCCTCTGCGACTCTGCGAAGAACTCATCCCCCGATGGGTAAGTGCCTTGAGTGTCCTTTGTGCCGATGTGCTGGCTAGAATAGGAGTAGCCCAATGCGAGCAGAGCATTAACCAAAATCGAAGAGCAGTAGCGAGCTTGGCCTTTACAGAAGTCTTTGATGAATGCTCTCTGCTAAGGCTCGCAAATATGGGATATTCCCAACAGAAGTACAAAGCGAGAAGATTTTGGATGACACTGGTGTCGGACGTGATATTTGTCCATGTCGATGCGGCTGTCAGCATTTCCGTGCCAAGTGGCATGAAGACTAGCTGGGAAGGGAGAACCGCCTCGGACTCGCCAGCAATATGTCGTGATGTTGTTGTTTCTGAGTCTGAATCAACCACAGTGGCGTCAACGTTGCTCGGTAAGGGCAATGTGCCGGCCTGCCCGCAATCAATGGTCGGGTATACCACTGACCCCGCAGTTATGGCTATTTTGGAACGTACTTGTGTGAATAGCGCATCTAAGAACGTCCGATGGTAGGATGTGAGACCAATCTCAACCATGTCGTCCTCGGTCATATCGCACAAAGTGGTTACGTCATCAAACCCATTCTCGCGCAATCGGGCTGTGTATGGGGAGAGACCAGCGGATTGCACAAGTTCGGCGAACGAAGGAGTCCCCATTTGGACTGAGGAAGAAGTGCAATATAAAATGGCAGAAGAAAATAAGTAAACAAAAATACACGATATGACACGTGCTTGCTGATTCAAGTTTGCTTCTCGTCGGACGCGCAGAAAGAGTGAACTTTCTTCGGACGCAGTGCGGGGTAATCCTGTGATCCACCGAAGGTTATACACACACATGTTTATTACGCCCGGATTATTCCCCTAGAGGGCAACTAACGCTATGACACAACGCTTCTCATGTTTCTGTCTTGTCTCATACAGTAATTGTGGCAAGACAAAAAAAAAGCTTGCGAAAGCCAGCTTATGGAGCTCCTGCTAAGAAGTCAGCTGAAGCTAAACGACAAAATATTTTTCTTACACTTTCTGTTAAGCATCTTTATAAAGCCCTCTATATAACCACCTATTAATATAGTGACCATATTGCTGCACACGATGGGGGTTTGTATATACCGCTGCCGTTTTCATTTTACAACTCATACACACGACGACGGTCATGAACTGGATCTGGCGTTCTCTGATGTGGCATTGGCAGAGGCGGCGGTCAGCGAGGCACTGCATTCAACGTCGGATCATGATACACTCCGCGTGGTATCAATTGCCAGGGATCTGGAACGAGTGACAAGGCCGTGTAGATGGACCGTACCAGATGACATCATACCTGAGCTGGTAGAAATGGTCCAGTGCAGACTGCATGAGCTCCCTTCACTAGGATACAATGATGAGGAGCTAGATAGGTATGCCCAGACCCTGAGTCACATCATCTCCAGCTGCATAAAAATAGCCGGCCGGAGGACTTCACGATTCAGATCTACGGTCTGGTGGAATGATGAATGCAGAAAAGCGGTGGAAGAATATAGGAGCGCAGCAAAACATGCTACGAGCCAAGAGGACAAGAGCATAGCAAGGAAAGTTTTCCGCCAAGTTGTGAGGAAGGCTAAGAGGGAGTACTGGCGGGTGTAATTGACGGAGCCAAAAGCCCGAACGATCTGTTCAAGATCATATCCTGGCACAAGGTGACGGCGGGGCTGAACTCGCCCCCAATCATAGCCGGTAACTGAATCTTCGAGACACAGCTAGACAAGGCGAACGCACTGCGAAGGGCCACGCTGGAGCGATACAACGGTGAAAACGACATTCCCAATCCTTGGTCCGTTCCAGTGCGACAACGGACACCTATCCCCTTCGAAAACCACGTATCGCTAGAGGAGGCAGAGGCATGCACGGTCGGGGTTAGCAGTACCTCGCCTGGGGTAGATGGTCTTACCGTGAAGATACTCAAGGCATGCTGGCCTATCATTGGGAAGCATGTAACAGACCTCTTTCAAAGGTGCTTGATGGTCGGGTACCACCCGAAGCCATTCAAGGTAGCCGAGGCGGTCATGATCCCCAAGCCAGGGAAAAAGGACTACTCTGACCCCAGGACATATCGGCCAATCTCGCTCCTATCATGTCTTGGGAAAGGGCTTGAAAGACTAGTTGGCAAAAGGCTAGCATGGACAGTGATTGAACGCGGCATCTTGGCACCACAACACTTCGGGGCCTTGCCGAAGCGTGCAGCGACCGATCTGGTAGCAGCACTTGTCCATGACATTGAGCAAGCTCTTGACCAAGGCCTAAAAACAGAGGCACAAGATTTATCGACAGTACATCCGACAGAAGATGTGCTGGATGAGCTACGCAGCTTAGGAGAACGTTTTAACGCTGCTGTGCATCAGTAACAGCGGCTTGTTGAAGCAAAATATATGGCATGGGCCAAGACGGTACATTTGTCGGTAAATTACTGTCCCTATGACCATCACTCTAACAAAGAATAAGAACGAGAAAGTCGTGTGTACTCGTATCAACGCTTGCGATCGTGAGGCAAATATGGAACATGCTTTCCAGAACCTCTAAGACACTATTCCTTGAGATAGAGGGCATCTAGCAATATATAATGCTATAGACTGGCCTGTACAGTTCTCTTGTTTCTGAGATCTTCTCACCTTCCATATCTCTCGTATCACTGTGGTGCCGAATCAGTACACTTTGCCGCAATTCTTCGTCCAATTATACAAAAATGCAATCAACCCTCAACCATGCCTACCACAATAAAAGAAGTCCACGATCGGCTCTCGAGAATCGACCATGTCGTTGTGTGCATCGATCCTGTTGATCTCGACAACATCTGGCTCTGTCTTTGGGCTCTGGTCCGTGTTCCAAGCGCCCAGATCCATATTGTCCTATCGCCACGCGTGCTCGACCTGCGAGTGCCAAACTTTGGTGACCTTTTTGGACAGCTCATCAAAACGTTGGGTACGCACTATATACTCGACATTCTTGAGGACGGTGCAAAGGAATTTTATGGGCAACTGAGTAGTGAAGGTCTTGAAGCTTATTTCCTCGAGACTCAACATTTCAAAATGACCCTCACACCAGAGAGCACATCCCTCTATACATGGCACTATTCGCTCTTCGCTTTCTGGCTAAGATTCTGTCTAAAAATCATGACAAAGAGCGCATCGTCTTCTACTGGGACTGGCGCTCCATGGATACTATTGTGCCCTGCATTCATCATCCGACACATGTCTTGGATATGCTCTATGCTTGTAACAAAGAAGAGTGTCAGCAGGCACTCGGAGCCATGCAGCTTCGCGGTCCAGAGCGCAAAACGAAGTTGGTAGCCGTCATGGAGAAGTCTGCCCGCCGGTTGGCCAAGGAGCTTGGGTACCAGACGCCAGCCGACGTCCTTCACCCTTTGGACGAGCTGATCAGCCTCTTTAAAGGTCCAGCGGTGGCCGCTCCAGGCTCTCATCTTGGGTGGAGGCCCTTTCACAGAAATGCCGCGCCTGCTGGCAGAAACGGCACTCGTGCCTATAGCTATTGTGGCTATGGCCCGCACCTGGTTTGCTAATGTCAATATATTTCCAAACAACTACAACGACATGATGGATCTGGATGCTTCGATAAACACTGAACTCATCAAAGAAAGAGCTATTCCCACGTGGATTTTTCCAACAGAATGCGCGAAGGCCAAGTTGAAGGATGGCAAGGTTGTTCGTCCTTGCGCCCTAGACTTTTCTGACGATGATACTATCCGCATTTTTAGGGCCGCTGGAGACATGGAATCATACGACCAAGCTGTGTTTCTCAGCAAAGAGATCAAAACCCTCGCCAAGGTGCACATGTTCGATGTGCTGACGGTTGTTCCGGATGAGAGACTCGTGCAGAATTTTGGACATTGCAAGACGCGATGATTGGCGTTTGGGGTCTTTGTGATAGTTGGCCCGTAATAAAGACTTTATAACTCCAGAGCTCTAGTGAGGTACAGCTAGGATAGTATATCCGATATAAATATGGGCGTTGTTTGCTATCGCAAGCAAGCTATCGTAGTAGCTTCTAGAAACTGCGGCCAATGGTAGCCATAATGCACCAAATCATCTAATTTACCACACTTCTTGTCATGGGGTATGTAAACTTTTACTTTGTTCCCCAATTGAACCATCCACGGGAAACCCATCTCCACGTGGCCGCACCCAAACGGAGACCCAGGGTAGGCGTACCAATACATAGCTCCCAAGGCCTTCCAGAGTCCAAAGCGCACCAGTCTCGCTAGACCACCGCCGGCTTCGAGTTTTCTAGTGAAAGTGTTTAGAGATGGAGAAAGAGACGAGGAAATGACACAAGACATGAGACACGGTGATCGTGAGCCCATACATCATTGGCGAAATGGTCAAGCCGAAACCAGCGTATATTCAATTATCTATGTACGTGTATGCTATAATTGGTACTGAAAATCCACAAATTCTACAAGATGCGTCTCTGCATTGGCTCTATAACGGCCTGGTCTGTACTCATGATCGTATGTAAGCTCTCAGCTATTGCAGAGAGCTGCTCTTTGATTAGAATGACGAGGCTTTGCTGAAGAGCCCGCGTGCTAAGGACTCGCAGGACAGATGCCTATGGTGGGGAGAACAAGATTAGATATGGTCGCTGCGAAAAGTTTCAATAACTCGGTACGTTGAGATTGCACAAGACATCGAGGGCAGGATGGTTGGGCGCTGTGATGTTACGTGAAAAATGATGCTGAGAAAGTGTTTCTCCATGGTGGATCAAATGGAAGCCAGTAACGTTGTCCTGTGTTCGCAAAAATGCTGAACTGGATCAGAAGTTGGGTAGGCATGCCTTTAGGCAGGAATCGGGGTTCTTTCCTCATTATAATGACATCAAATTCGCCAGTGGGTTAATGCAAGTGGGAGAGAAGTCTCGCTGCCCTTGTGCTGCCTTGTGACGCGCGACTAGATAGGTATATTGCTCACGCCGTACAGTAGGGGACAATAAGTTTAAGATGTACTTCAGCGATACGCTACCCTGTTTCCACCAAATTTAAGGCTGTAATCCTAGCACAAAGTCGCGTTCTTCAGAGCCTACATGCAGGACATTAGTGTAGTGAATGATCTAGCGGTAACTATGCTGGCTCTTACTTAGCGCCAAAAAGTAGATTCAAACTTGTGACCACCTATCGTAAATTGGGTACATACCTGTGTTTGTGCTTCGTAAAATTGTTGGCTATTTACACTACACGACCAACCCCGGTCCAGAGTTAAAACGAAAATCCCACTAAGCCTCTGGGACTCGTCAACGGACGACCAGAACGTGTACGTTTCAATTGACTATCCTATTGACGAGCATCTAAAGCTTGAAAAAGAATAGAAACACATTTTTTCATCCATATGATGGGACAATTTGTAGTTGCAGATTCGCCACCTCATCAGTCCGTCGAAACCTTATTGGTTGGGGAAAGTGCACGCCGCCAGCCGTGCCTATAAGCTAGTCGGGTTGAGCTTCATGGTCGCGCTCATGGTTGAAGGCTTTGGCTGACAACTGATACACGGTCCATAGCCCGTAACATATAGTATAAATGAGAACCAATAGACAGACTAAAATATCGAGCAACGAGAACTCGACCGTGGCTCCAAGTATCACACGGCTACCTAGCTACCATCAACTTCATCTTGACCTTACCGATTCTCAATCCCACCAATTCTCATATACTCATGGTGCCTATGTCTGTTCATCATTTGGCGATTCAATGGGAGCGGGTGCCACGACATGCCTCGGGCACTAGTCCTACAGGGCGCGCTAATCTGAAATCTGCAGATAATGGCAATGATCTCTCATTGGGATTGGAAGAGCGACACTATGTTCTATAGAGGTTATGGCCTTTTTGCTGAGTGTACAATGGCTCGAGACGATGGGATATTCGCCCCAACCGTTGCATGAGCTATCACGGATGACCATATGTCTCAACTGCAATGGTATGCGTAGTTGCTTTGGCTTTGCCGCTTAGAAGTATCTTAGGGACACACAATAGCGAAGAACATAGTCGCTTTTATGCAAGGGCTAGCACATGGATAAGACACTTTCGAATACCATTAGGCAGACCTTCAAAGAGCAATGCATGTGATTACGCCACTGGGACACGCCTGTAGTAAAGCTAGGAGAAACTCTTGGCAATCCCCCCCCCCAAATGCGTTAGCCGCCAATGATTTAGAGTGTGGCCATAAAAGTCGGCCGTTCCATCGGAAATTCGGTGCCTACAATTATGAAGTAGTTGCGCGAGCGGTTTTTGTTAATGCTTTACATAGTGAAATGCAGAGGGATCATCTTTCTGGTCGGAACCATGTAATCAAGGTTTCATTTGCGAAACAGCGCTGAAGAACTAAAGCAGCCACGCACGGAATGGGATCTTAACTTGTACTTATGCAACAAGCCGCCAGCATGAAGCTCATGCTTCCATCACTCTCTCTGTACGCATAGGAGTAATTGACACTAGAGTTTCCGGAAGGACTGCATACGAGCTGCATCGTCTTGGTGATGATGCGAATGTACTGGGTTAAAGGGGTTCTCGGAGTGCTTGTTAGAAATATTGTTATATCGCAAGTCTCGAGCGTAAGGTCGGGTGGACGAACAGCCAACCACAGTACCCAAGAGTTGGGGCAGTTCCTGATGGGTTTTCTGGGGCGTATGCAGCACAAGTACGAGGAGCGTGTGTAAGTATGATCCGGCGTAAACTATTATTACCGGCCGAGCCAGATACCTCCAAATCCCTGCGGATGTATGGCTCTGGGAGGCGTGGTTTGCCGTAATAAGGGACGGTCCCCACGTTAAATACAATCAACCGGCCGAGCCAGCTTGACGCTCGGCTCCGGTTCAGACACCGCAAATTAGACGCGCTGTAACAGGGTGACAAGTTAGAAAAGGTTCAATTCTTCCCGGCAAGTGGGTGTTTACGTGTCCCGGACCGCATACCAATAGGGTATTCGATCAAGAAGGATTAGCGTGACGAAGGAAAAATCACTTTACCGTGCGCTCTCATTACACTTGCACAGATTCAAATAAGGGTCTCTTACCTCCTTTATTGCTCACCCAACATCACCGACACCGTTAAGAAAAATATTACCATCAGCTGCGCTTGTGTGAAGAAATTCCCAGAGTCGGGATGCTCCACGAACACTAGAGTCATCGTCCTAGCTTCGGCTCCACGCCTAGTCCGCACTCTAATCAGCTGGTTGCGGGTATTCGCTGGCTCTTACCGCACCGTTATGCACAACGTGAGAGTCGACATATCCTAAATGTTGAAAAGCTTTACGGCAAAGAGTTCAGCATTAAGGGGAGTGTGATAACTAGGTAAAGCCGCGAGAGTCTATTACGGATGAGTCTAGTTAGTGTTTGCAGGGCTTCGTAGTGGGCAAACTTGTTCCCACTTACCGTAGAATGTTAAATAGCATCCCGACATTAGCAATGATCAGATGCTGTTGCACCAGGCTAATGGCTAGCTCGCGGGGAAGGGGCTAGCCAAAGTCTTTCTTATTTGGTAGTTTTACCTTTGCGATGCATTTTATCAATTACTGCTGCATTTAAAAGCGACACTCCTCCGTCAAGCCGCCTTGCCAATTGCTTCTCTGTTATTCAATAAAATGGCTGACTTAGACACCGTAGTCCAGTACGATCCAGTTCCGAAAACTAAATGGGTGATTGTGACCACCTCGGTCGACATCGTAAGTATCTCCGCCCTTGTTTCCCCTGCAAAACTTGTTACCCAAGTCATCTATTTTAGAGCATAGAAGCGACGGCGAAACAATCTTCTCTTGGAAATACGACGGTCGTAACTTCGGCTGCCTGCAAAAAGCAGACTAGTCCAACCTTGTCCCTGTATGTATCACCATTCTCTGAAGTTATTGACGATAACCTGTTGACTCTCGCTTTAGACCCTGTTCCGCCCAGATCTGGGCGCTATTTCCTCCCGCTTCGCTACTATGGCAACCCCGCGACCCAGAATCCGTAATTAATTTCAATCTTGGATCATCTATGTCAAAGACATGGGCTCGGGCTCTCTTATATGCAGTACTAGGTTTGCTTGCAGGGTTTACGGTTGGTAATCTCTCGATGCCGGCCGTAGATTTCACAATAAGCAAAATAAGCAATCTGTTAGCTCTACCGGATAAACAGCGTCTGGCATAAGACTGTACCGCAGCACCGCGAGTTGGTATCCAAATATCCGGTCGGTTCGAGAAGCGCTTTGCACGCCTTTCCAATGTATGTATATCATCAGGACATTACAAAAAGGAGATCAGTGTCTATAAGTACCTATGGTTAGTAAATGGACACCAATATTTTAGCACTCCTAATCTACGCGTATCACGGGTAGTTTTCAGCGCATTAGGTCAGCTCATTCTTGATGCTGTTATATGATATCGCGGAAAACCAACTAGCGGTCGCGAGGTATGGCGCACTGCTGATGAGCGCTAACCATGATGGAAGATATGAAATGCGGGTTTCATTGCTCAATCAATGGCCCAGTAGGCAGGGACGAGCGTAGATAGCACCCATCTGCATAATGATATCGCTGCAAGGGAGCAATTGTATTATGCCTTTAAGGGAGCAGGAGCAGTTGAGAATGTGGGTTCCTACTTCTAATGTGGTGTTACAAAGATTGAGGTTCAGGTGGCCGCTTGCGAATACGAATTTTCTGGAAATCACCACCAACCTGGCCATCTTATTTGTCTCTTTTTGTGATCACTCAGTACTTTCTACAGATGTTGACTTGCTCTACACACTCCTTCTTTATTTTGTTACACTTGCTCAATTAGTTTCAAGTGAAACATATCTCACAATGAACAGTGCTCTGAATATGTTGGCGTCTAACAAGAGCCAAGGATGAAATTCCCCTAGTGGCCCGCTATCCCGTTTCAGGGATCGAAGTCCCGATTCGGCCGCGAATCAAATTCGTCCTCGGCCCACAGCTGATGAACATAAGATATTGCGTTCTTGGACATGTTAGAGCTCATCTTTGAGCCGCATATGGCTCGTCGCTGTTGTGTTTGTGACGAACCGGCGGAGGGTGTACTATCAGGCACGAAAACAGGGTTCAAATTCCCCGTCAGATCGGGGAGACAGCGAGAGTAGGCCGATTTCGTCCCTTACCTAATCGTGTCCTCGACCCTTCTCCGGTGGTGCCAGCTATTGCACCAATACGGAGCTTTCTGCTTCTATAAAAACATGAACCAGAATGAACGCATCCAAAAGGAGGAAGCAATATTGTTGAACAGATGAGATATGCAATGGTTTCCTGGTATGCTCATTTTCGGGCGGTCGACAGCATGGACCCATAGTGGGCATATACCGCGGACGAAAGCCGCTGCATTTCCATGTCATTTTCGAGCTTCGTTCTGAGCAGACGCTACGCCCGCCATTCTTCTGCCGCGTGGGGCTTGTCGCGACATTTTCGGCTCGACCTATTTAGGTATAGTACCGATCAAAATCGGTCGCGTCAGTGCTCTGAGTCACATACAGTAACCACTTTTCTTGGATACGAGGAACAACAATCCGTATGTTGTGCTCCTCTTCTGTACTCGCTATCGAAAATGGACTTAATTGAAAGTGGCCATGAATGAAAGCATGATTCAAAACCAGGCCTATGTTCCATATGTAAGCGGACGAGAAGATGCGCATACAACTGATCGGCCGAGTCTACAATAACGGCGCGCACCGCCCTTAGTTTTCATGTCATGACTCGGCACGATTTTCACCCGTGTCTCTGGCATGTCCAAAGCTGACCTCAGATGCCATTTTTGGTCCTCTTCGCCAGACAGTCACCAATTTTCGTCGGACGAGTACTGTATTGGTGATGCCGCTACAGCACGGATGTTGGTGTGTCATTGGTTTGAAGTATCCATTAGCTGTGAAAACAATAACTTAGTGAGAACAAACTTTTTGGAAATAACTCTGCTAAATAGACCCTAATCAGCTTACCCTTTATGTCACTGGAACTCCAAACAGCCCGCTCCATTATAAGCCTACTCACGGCTCAATACGCCACCGGCGGCCGCCAGGGCCCGTAGAGCCCTCAGAGTTTCGGACTCAGGGCTCGATGATGAACTGGTTATAGCAGCCCCCAGGGCTAACATGGCCAGAGACGGCCCTGTATCGAAGAAAAGGAAAAGAAGGATGGATCCGGACTCTACCATCCACGGACTAACCCCCGGGAAGCCCGCTCGGCTCCAGGGGTCACTCGGCCCGAGACAACACGGAGGCGCACGTCTTCTACCAGGCTCTCGCAACGCTCCATATCAGCCGCCGGGAGCGTTATGGATGAAGATAGTATAGTGGTCTCAGACCTCCCAGACCCAAACAACAACAGCACCAACAATGAATAAAACACCTACACTTCGCATCTTACAGTAAAACGTACGCAAATCCAAGGACATCATGATGGCGCCATTCTTTAGGGACCCGAGGATCCTGAACTACGATGTAATCGCCATCCAAGAGCCTTGATCAACCCACTGAATATTGATCACGCAGTATTTATATTATGGTATGATGATTATGGGCTGCAGTTCGATCAAAATTCTATTCATAGCATGGAGTGCTACACTCTTGTAGAATTCTCTTCAGAGCCTGAAGCCACTGGTGCACAAGCTGTTATCAAGACTCTACATACAATCGAGTTTTCCATGCCGATACTCGCATCCCAATCTACCACTCGTCCGCTGCATGTGCACGCCACTGGGAGACCTCTTTGTGCTATTTTCAATTCCCCTGACAACCGGGCCTTTTAGGTCAAGTCTGAACTTTGAGGCTACAGTATACTATTGTCCATGAATATCTTCTGAAGTGCCTATACAACTTGTAGCCACCCTATCAAGTACTTTAACATATTCATTAGAGTAATGGGTCTCTCCACTTTTGTACCATAATTTCCTTTCTATTTCAAATGGTTCACACTTCATCAGTTCCACCTATGCATATAACTACTGCCATCTGCTCGCATGAACTCCTGTCGGCGATGCCCTCAGCCAAGGGACCCACCGAAACTTCGGGACGCTTCTCTGCCTTATGAATTGCTTTTTCCCGCCATATAAGTAAACCTTGTTCCTGTATCCTAGACAATTTTTATTCTTTAAGCTCGCAATGCTCATCATATGGGATAGTCAATTGAAACCCATATTGACCACGCCTCTCACATCCACAGCCACTGCAGACTTTCAATCACTAGATGCTTGCGTGCGTCATGTGCGATCTTTCCGACTATGAGCATCCTCATTTGCCGTCATTGTTCGCTACAGTCTGGATAATAAATTGAAGCCACAGCTCTCTGTTGTGCTGGGTGCTACTGAATTTTCAGGGACTTTTCCACGCTAAACGCTTTAAGTAAAAGAAACTCCTGCACGCACCCCTGTTCATCGTTGGTTAGGAGTGGAGATCGGGGTCACTGGGGCAGGAAAAGGTGAACCATCAATAGCAGAGGTTAAGTTTATAACTGTTCATGAAAGACAGCAAACAGCTCACAATCCTGTAGTCAAAATGTTTTTCAAGAATTAAAATTTTGTTAAGACGTGCGCCCTACCGCGCCACGCCCACGAAATGACTAACCGACGAAGCCGACACCGCATCCGCAATGTCATGCTCGCTAGCCAACGAACACCGCGATGTCTCCCGCTGCTTTATTGTTGGCTCCTGGCTGCCCTTGTGCCGATATAACGCAAGCCCTTGTTCCGCAGAGACATCCGTCTCCAGAACGGCTCGCGCTCCGCTGATGTCGTTGAGCTCCAGATCGGGCTGGCCACTGCTACTACCCTTGCCGCCTAGATCGTTCCTGAAGCGCCGCTGCTGGCCGGTGTTGAAAGTGTCCAGGTTGATGGAATTGGTGATGTCGTTGCTGTTACTATTGTTGTTGGAGATGTACAAGCTGGCTTGCGAGTTTGCGCATGTAAGCTCGACCAGCCGATTAAGAATGCTGAGCTCCATCTTCAGCTTGACACTGTATACCAGCGGTTTATAGCCGGTCTGGAGTGCGAAGAAGTTTGAAAATTCCAGCGCGAGTACGCTGATGTCAAGAATGATAACGACGACGTTGACGAAGATCAAATGGCCCATCACACGGTGGGCACCTCGTTTACCGCGGATGTCCCTTGTGACGTGCAGGAGCTTCGTGGTCTCCCACACGTATGCACCAGAGATGATGCACTCCTGAATGAAAAACACAGTTAATTGTATCTTTTCGTAGACTGTGTAGGCCATGAAGTATGGGCCCGGGTTGTCGGAATTCGAACCGTACACAAGCATAGTGACTGGAATGTGCATTGCGATGGCGTTGAAGATGATCATATACGCAATGGCATGACGCCATTTGACGTCAAACATGATAAGGTGCAACCTTGAGTAGAGGACGACTGACTGCCCAGTGACCATACAAATCCACCCAACGCAGATCAGTGTTGAGTAGATCCATTGGTCTGAAATAAGCTGAAGGTGTTGCAAGAGGTATCCGATTGTGTTGACGGCGATACCCCATGACGCCACAATTAGACTCCAGAAGTACAGACTTTTCCTCCTCCTGAATGTTATGATGATCATGTAGTTGAGTTCCAGGACATTATACAGTGCGATGCTCCCAAACACCAAGATTGGAATAGAAATATTGATGTTTGACCAAGCATTTGGCCCATTTTCTGGGATCTCGTTTCCCACCGCGACCGCCATTTTGTTAATTAGGCATGGAAAGTGTCGTTCAAAGCGATTGATGCGACCAATTGTGCTATCAGCCGCATTGGCAACGTTAAGGTAGTCACCGCTCCGGTATCAATCGCCATGGTTCAGGTTAAGGCATCATTTTGACACACCTTAGAAATAGTGTTCGGATTTAAGCGCACGTTGACCAGCACGAACATGCGACTAACGAAAAGAGGGACCAAGAACATCAAATATGTTAGGGGAAGATCTCCAATGGCTCCGGCGATCCGCTAAAAGTTCGGCGTCCCCCAGACTCACTAACATTAGCGAAGTGTTCGCCTAAGGCTAGTTTGAAAGGTAATTTCGATTCCGACTACCGGATGGCACGTTGCAGTTTTCAGGTTTCGCGAGCAGCTATTGGTGCGGGGCATGGCGGAATATAGTTGTGCTTTCGCCTATTGAGAAGGAATTTACTTGGCATGACCAAGAACTTTGCCTGTGGAAGGTTAAGGTTTTCAGCTTGTGTCTACACTAAACTTTTGCCAACGCCGGGGGAATGCCACGAGAGCATGTCGTGCAGCGAAACGCATCATGTAAGGGCCTGATGCGACCACTTAACGTGACTTCCAGGTACGGTCGACCATGGCTTGGATGTCAAGATGTCGGAGGGATGAACTTTGCGTAGTTACGAGGATTGCAGGTCGAAGGCTGTGCGCCTGAATGATCGACCTTTAGTCATTTGGAGAAAATTGTTAGCGACCAACATGAACCACGTCTCGATCATCATTACTCGCGTCGATTTTTGTGTAAGTGAGAATGTCCAACCCCACGAGTCCGCCAATTGCAAGATGAAATGGCCTTGATTTTGTGGATAAAGTGTCAGGTCATGATAGCCATTTTTTCCAACGTCTGTCTTGGTCGAGTCAGTGAAACCTTCATTGGGCCGAGGTGAGTGAGCAATTGCGTCTTTGATCTATTTACGCCGTGTGCATACTTACATGCCAAGCTGATCGACGTCAAGCCTGTTGGCGTTCGGATTGATGGATTGTCAGGACATGTTGACAGCTATTCATCTCGCTCATATGTGGGATTGGTTGGCTTGGGTATGAACTCTTTTCTTAGCAAAACTGTGCCACCAGCTGTTCGCATCACATGCCCCGCATAACTTCCCCGTACCTCGTTGCCGTCGACCATCTTTTTGACAAGTCTTCTTGGGGCTGGATCCGAAGTCCTTGGCTCTCTTCTCTTCTGTGGGTCGAGCATTCCAATCGACATGACCTACAGGCTGATCGTCAAGGAACTTACGTCGTGTTTGACTTCAACCGGACGCTTGCATATCGGGTAAAACCTGTCTGCCTGCCATAAGTTTTCTCTTGCAAGTCCATAGCTCCGGAGAAACCGTCATTGATGACGCAACCAAAAGGCATAAGTGCAAAGCAAAGTTGTCGTGGCAGACTGTTTTTGATGCATTAGTATAGGCCAGATCATTTCTCGACGTACATAGAGACCATCTATGTATATTGCGAAAGTATCCACAAAGGCCACCGGCAGATTCTCAGATCAGTAAACATCTAAACATTAAATATTGGGCCGATACCTTCGCTGTAGAGGCGGTGTGATTATAAAGTATTTACAAACCCTAGCGACTACTGATCCGATATTTTATACCGCCCATCTCGTGATTTCCATTTCCGACCACCGTTTCCGCCCAGAGATATCTCGCCAACCTGATCTGGTTCATATTCCTCGTGTGGAAGTGTAGCTCGCCATTCCTCACAGTTACTTGCTGTAGACATGTCGGAGAGTGGTTTTCGACTTCGCCTATTGTCTGGGATGCCCTCGCCGGCCACAGTGCTCCGGCAAGTTGTGGATACCGACCCTTTTCTCGATATCTTCCACCCCTTGTTCTTTTGTAGTATGTAGTTTCGCCACAAGTGACTCCGCTAGTGAGGAGAGTTCCTTCTTGTGCTGCACTCTCTCCATCTGGGACTCTTGTAGCTGCGCTTTCAATTGCTGTTGGAGCTCGTCTTGCATGTCACGCAGTACGCTTTCAATCAGCAAAAGCAAGGCTTGAGAGAGCTCGTCTTCCTGTTCGACTGCGGCTATCTCGTCATCGGGAAGTGTTAGATGGTGCGACAGTGCTGGGCTGGGGAACGAAAGATCCCTCTCATGTAGATGGCGTTTACTCATTTGATTGCAGGAACTTTGAGCATTGATCTCAAAGGGTGGAGTGGTACATGGAAGGTAGTGTCAGAAGGGGGAGATTGGAAGACAAAAAGAAGAGATTGGAAGGGAGAACTATGCACTTACAAAAGCGAAGAGATGGGCTTTTTGTGGGTGACGGAGGCGTTGCTTGAGAATGATAGGAGCGAATTCAGGCGTCTAACCTGGGACGGTTTGATAGATAATCCATAGGGAAATCGTACAGTCGATACCGGCTCAATACAACAAACTTCATGGACAGTTGCTGTTGACTGGGGTGTTCGATCTGTGTAGAAGGAAGCATTTCTACTTGCCTAGTCCTAAATACGTCCATACACATATTGTGGAGAATCAATGTTCATCCTACGACAGATCCCCAGAGCAGGTTGGCAATCCCAAGAGACGGCTAGTGTATATGGAATCAGAAATGGCTCCTTGTGGAGGCAAAATGTAAATGAACAATGCCGGATTTCGTAGCCCGTAAGCATCCAAAGCAGAGGAGACTAGAAAGAGGCCCGTAAAGGAAGCGACAAGAATGTATTCGCAGCAGATGTCGACATAGACTGATTATTCTTCTTGCCACACCATTGGTCCACGATATGTAGGTGGACTTTCGTCGCCAATTACATGTTTATGGTCATCTTTGTGCCGTCTCTAGCTCGGTGGTGTTGTTTCTGCGACAAACCGGGGGTCTTGTCGCTGTCAGGCACGAAGACAGGTCTCGGACTACGGGTCAGATTGTGGATACAGCCAGAGTAGCCGATTTCGTGGTGTGCAGTGCCGACAATTAAAAGTGTCGCGGTGGGTCTGAAGCAGAATCAGATATGTACGACATTTTGGCTATCTCTACAATCCGACTGGTTAGATAGGGACTGACTACCTTCCGTTACCGACCAAAGTAGCCGGTTTCGTGGTGCCCGGTACATAGCATCGTAGATCAAGTGTGGAGACATTACACTACTACGTAGCTGGTTCTGATTCCGTGCAACCATAAATGATATATGCAATGCTTTTCCGCTATGTACCATTATTGAGCAGTCAATGTAGTGACCGTGTACTTCGTGGATCTAGTGATGGCCTAGATGCGTGCTTGGGAGCGTTATTTATGGAGTACAGTACCGGCGTTGAAAAGTGCCTTCGTGGGTCTAAACCGGAATCAGATCTGAAGGCTATGGTTGGTGGACGGAATCTAGTGCCAAGGACCAATTCTTTCTCCATGATCAACAGCTGACTGCGAAACTATTCGCGTAACCGTTGTTTGTCGAAGAGCGAAAATAGACCGGCTCGAAAGTGGCCACCTACGGGAGGTCCTCAATTGGAGTATAATCCACACTGACCACTTCTGACCGCGCCAGCGCAACAGTGTCCGGTTCCAACTTCTATGTGCCGAAATTGACCATTCCATAAAGCGAAGCCACGTGTTGTAGGTTGCAATCCGGCTGAGCCCTGAAAGCAGTTGCTTGCTGGCCAAGAAACGGATTGTGGACCAGGCTATGGGTCCGCTCGGTTGTCGAGCCCATGTCATTTAAGCCGCGTGGGGTCTGTCGCCATTTTCAGCACCAAAATTGGGGTTGGTATTGGCCACTTGTCGGTCGCGTCAAATGCGCGCAATCGCGTGGCCACTTTTCACCACTACTGGCAGCAACGGCCGAAACAATGCCTTCTTCCTCTCGACACTGCCGGAGCTGGACGTGCCCGGAAGTTATCATGGACGAAAGCAGAATCTGGAACACCGAATTCCAGATCCGACCCCACCATCAGTTGGGCTCAACGCTGAATACTGCTTGCCGTTGTTGAATCGATAGCCGGCCCGGAATGACCATTAATGGTCCTCGGAAACGATGTCGACCAACCTCCAGAAGCCGTCCTGTCGAACGAAAGGGGCGAAAGGGGCGAAAGGGGCGAAAGGGGCGAAAGGGGCGAAAGGGGCGAAAGGGGCGAAAGGGCGAACCGGACGAACCGGACGAAACGAACCCAGCGAGTCAAGGCGAATGCAGTCACTTGCTCAAGGAGCACAATTGTCACGACGTTGGGTTGGTCAGCTGCATGCGGTGCACCCCAGTTCAGTTCTACAGTTTGAGACAGGCAATAAGACGTGGCGCTGGAAGCTGGATTGGATACATGAGACTCATCTACTCGATAGGCTCTTTTGACATGGGATTGTGGACGTTTCAATTATATGCGCTATCTAGAAAACTGTGTAGTAGGTCATGGACCAATATTCAATCAATGCGTCTCTGCATCGGCTCAGCTCCGTTTGGAGCAGGTCCGTAGCCGGCACCACGTACAGGATGAAGAATGCGTCTTAGCCGACCTCATCCCAGCGATTATGTCCGCGGGAAGCGGTTCGTAACGCTGGCCAGCCACAGCGAAGTCATCCCAGCAATTATGTCCGGGGAAGCGGTTCATAACGCTGGTGATGACGCTGTGCGCCTGCTTCTCGAGAAGAATGCCGATTCTAACCTTATCGATAGACTTTCGTGACCCTCGTCAGCAGCCCACACATAAGCGGCGACCGCCCTCTTTCATCTACAGAATCACATTCAGCTTTCTGGTCAAGAAGCAGGCGCGTAACGCTTTCGTGGCCATGCCTTGCAGCCCACGAAAGCGGCGTCCGACGAACGGCGGCTTCGACGAATTGATGCTGAGACCCTCTGATTTGCACGTAAAACTTCGTACACGTTGGTCTCTCCTTCGCATGGTCGCGAGACGTCATATCTGAGGCGTGCTTCAGATGCTATCAGGAATGGACATTCTATGTCGACGAGCCATTGATTGCCCTGCTCGCAAACTGCAACCTCATGAATCTGATTATCTGGGGGTTTCCCACCAAGGTGGATGTGAAGGGTTCCCTCAAGCGTTGTTCGGAACTTGTTAAAGTCTTCTGTGAGGATGTGACATTGTGTCCACCTTTCGTCATCGGTTGGTGTCTCCAATAGCTCGTCAGGTACGTGGTGGGCCGTCTGACAAAGGGTGAGAATGTTGCCGTGCAATGGATAGGAACCAGACATCATTTTACCTGTTCTTCTAGCAGCGTCGATGTCGAAACTGGAGGTTGCTGCAAATCAGATACCTGAAGGACATCTTTCCCGGAGAGTCCTCTGATACGAAAAGGTCGCCGTTCTGCTCAATCCAGGAAATATCGTTGTGTACCCAAAGAAGATTAATTGACAGGAGTAAAGTGAAGACAACGGAAATCATCTCGAGCCACCGTAGTAATATCGGTACTGACTTTGGGAGGGGTCTGGTGAGGGTAAGAGCCACCATGGTTGAGTATTCGATATGGAATGCAATGGGAACAGCCCACAACACTTCAATTAGACGAATCGCGAACAGCCAGGGAGCCAGCCGACAACAGAAATTTGGATTCCTAGGCATGCCCAAAAGATAGAAGCTCTCGTGTGGCGTGACTGCCATGAGGTCGGGATTTCCTCGCCCGATCTTGCCCATATACACCAGAGGGAGTACAGAACCTCTACAAGCTGCGAACATATCAGTGTTTATCCTAGCTATCAGCGGAAATGAATTACTAGTGCAGCATATTGAGAGCACAGAGCTGCCCTGCAAGACAGGCGTCACGGCGAACGCAGTGATCGCAAAATCAGGATAGGTCGCAAGGAACAAGCCCAAGCCCAAGATTCCAATGAGCCACAAGATACAGGTTACACTAAGGAGTATCCAGATTCGAAAATGGTCAGACGTGTAAAAGACATATTGGCGCTTCAACACGCAGTACGTGGTTAGAAAGGCCACAACGATTGCATATGCGATGAATGCGTCGATACGCTGTGCTTTATCGATAGACCATTCCATCTGAGTTGACGGCGAATGGCAAAACAGTCCGCAATGGAAGCAAGGCAACGAGATGCGATACACTTGATAGTATGCTGCAGGAAAGTGTACTTTGATCATCAACGGGCTGGCGTAATCTATATGTAGATCTTATTGAGAGCTGTCGCCGTGGTCCCTTCAGTAGAATGAATTAAGCAAACAAGGGTGGCAGCTCCTCAACTATCATGACGTACTAGCCGGTAGGAGGTGGTTTTAGGCATGCTGTGTCATATGAGTGCATATATTCGGTAATGAATGCTCCCGTTCATTCCGGAGGTGCAGACCACCCGAGGATTCCATAATCCTGTGTGTTATGAAGAGTTTTAAACCGAAAAGATACTTGGATGACCGCAGCGGCGTCTCTATGACGCAGACTTGCTTGACAGAGTTCTACCAGTCAGTGATGTCAGCGCGAGCTTCCAATGTAGAGCAAATGACCTAACTCGATGTCATAATGCAGATCTCAGATTGCTCGTATTAGAAAGATCGAAGTAGCTTGACTGTTAGCTGGGCTCCATGTTTGTACCTCATTTGCCCAGCAAATCCTTGCATGGGCAATTTCTGTACATCAACCGGTGCTTTTGTGGATGCAACCCACTGATAGATAGGAGCGGTATGAGCGCGCGAATTGGGGATGGTATTGCAACGCGTGAGTTGTTTTTCTATCCCCCATTCAATACGCATACCAGGCCGGACAGAGATTATGCAAGAACATGCACTAGCTAGCTCGTTGTCCAGCGGGCAATCACCGGAGGCGTCATGTTCCTACACGTCGCAGACAAATATCCCCTGTGGAGACTCCACAGGCTGGCCAGCCACTCGGATGCATAGTTACGGGGGTCACTGGGCCGGTCACTAGGTGGATTATCAAGGTAGGGATCAAAAAGAAAAGACACGGGGATTGCACGAGGAGACAGGAGCGCCTCAATTTGCCCCAAGGCTCAGGACCTAGTCCGAGAGATGACACCTTACTGCTTCCGTCGTTTCGCGGGCGCATACGCTCGCAAAACGACGGAAGCGGAATAGTGTTTTCACGGATCACTCAAAGAGACGAGATCAATTCCCACTTCCTGCAGGTGTAGGCTTCCTTCTTCGCCCGGCTTGTAGAGAGAAAATGGGTGCTTCTCAGAGCCTTGCATTGGCGGACGAAATCATCGCCGGCTGTCAAGACGGAACGGGAGGGCTGGCGATTCTGGTCCTTGACAAAGATGTGAGCATTGACTGATTGATTGATTGATTGATTGTATTTAACGTGGGGACCGTCCCTTACTAGGGCAAACCACGCCTCCCAGAGCCATACATCGCAGGGTTTTGGAGGTATCAGTATCTACATACATTCCAGCCTGCGCACGTGCCAGTCCACGCTATTGCAGGACCTGAGTGAGAACACTCACTCAGTCCGTCAATTCAAACGGCCCTTCATCTCGGGCATGTCCTTGTGAAAAAGTTACTCCTCTCTACAAAACGCGCCCACTGCGCACTCTTCTCCCCCAAATATTTTGTATAAGCCGCCCTTGGCGTGTGCCTCGGGAGCAGTCGGTGTCCTTGCAATTTCCTACAGAAGAAAATATGCTCTGGTGTCTTTCTCTCTCCGCAACTGCAGTGGTTATTGGAGTCCGTATGCCCGAATCGTTCATGATATGCTGCAAAGTCGCCGTGGCCAGATCTTGCCGCCAGGAGCCTGTGCAGCGTAGCCCTTTTGAATGAGACGAGGTTCTTTGACACCGCCGCGTATGAATGCACATCTTCATATCTGGCTTCGTCTTGCGCCGCCCACCAGCGGGCATGTGAGCATTGACCTTTGATCTCGTGCTTCAATGTTAAATGTCATTTAGTTTGTTGCCAGATGGAGGAAATCTTGGTCAAGCACGCCGAAGGGAGTGCAGGCTTTCTTCAGAAGCCTCGTCAAGAAGTCTCGTCTATGGACGCCGTCGACGACATCCACGGCACCAATCCAACTCCCAACCGATATCAAGTCTCAATTGAAAGCTTGGGAAAAAGATCCGAGGAACTTCTTCGATAGAGGGAATCTTCGCAAGGATGTCCTCTCGGTGTACCATTATATCGAATCTCTTCAACACAAAGGGATATCAGACACCTTACGACGAAGAATCGTCCTGATGGCTTTTCATAGGCTAAAAGAAAAGATAGGTTGCCAGCATCTGGCAACCTACCTTATGAAATCTGGCAGTTTCAAAAGCGGGAAAGAGGTAGTCAACAATTGCGATCGTTGGGAAGAATGGGGTGGGCGGTACTGCGGTTACATTTCACATTTCCACGGTAACAATGGCGTTGTATTTGCACTTGACTTCAAAATATCAAGGATAAAGTATGTTGGGACATCGTCTTTTGCTGTCAGCAAATCGATTTATTGACCTAGATCTAGTTGGGAGCACGATGTGCCAACGGATGGGTCTGAACGTGAATTATTCTTGCAGATCCAGGCCGACCGAAGTCTACTCCGCGTTGCCAACGTGTGCAAAAACGCAGCCGATCAAGTGGTGGAGTATGCAGATAATCTTACGGCAGCTTGGTTCGAACAAACGCAGGCGGCGGATTTAAATTCTAGTCAGGATGACGGACGTGATAAACACATTGGCGAAAAGCGGAAGCGAACGCCTAACGCTAGAAAAGAGGAGACCAAGACCAAGACATCAGTCTTTGCAAGTGAGTTCGGTCCCTGATAAGTAGGCGCAGTTGAAATGACAAGCACGTCAGGACGTTGCTGCAACAGCCATATCATACATCACAGAGCGTCATGTTAGTCCTGCTGCAATTGCAAGGATGTCAAGGACTTCGGACCAAGCAAGCTCCATCTCTAGGGATCATTCTGCCCCAAGCGATAATGGGGATAATTCGGCTCCATGCAGGCTCGAACGATCGGTCAGTCTTAATGAGCAGTCAACAACAGAAATTTTGTCGCAACATCGAGTCCAAGGACACACTTCACAAAGCGGCACGGTTTCCAGCGAGACCAATTCGACACCACGCTCTACTGGTTTGGCGCCATCCCCAAATAGAACGCAGTCCACCGAAACTGTCAATTACGTTCCAGCGCGTGCTCAACTCCAAGAAGAGCAGCATCGCATCGCTTTTGCATCACGTGAGCAAGCACCGATGAACCCGCAATCATCAGTAAGATCCCAGTCAGACAACTGCCGGGGTCAAAGTACCAGGAGATTGATGGCAGAGACAGCAGGATATTTTTATCAAGGCAATAACGCTTTGGGCGTCGATGAAAGCACTACATTACTTGCGCCCGCTGTTGGTATAAAAATGCTATTTGCTGCTGCTGCTGGTTCCAGCAATCTTCCATCAACTTTGCAATCTAGGAGGGGCAACTGGCAGCAGGCCCATGTGGATACAGCCGTGGAAGGACAAACCCTACAAGACGGTAACGCCTACCGGGATTTCGGCAGTTGCGAACATAATGATGTGCCCACAATGTCCCTCGATTCCACTGTGCCAGGACAGCCCAGCATCGGAGAGCAATGCTCTAATCCGCCGGAAGGTAGCCAGGATAGGCAAGACACATGGCTAAATGAAAGTGAGTTTCAGTGGCCACATGGTAATGGTTTCACCGACACCGATCCCTCAGCCCCATCCGGACAGGATACACTAGAAGAGGCATCCGAGTGGATTGGAGCTTACTATCGTCAGCCTTCCCAGGTGTGGGATACATCGGCAGTGTAGGCGCCCTTCCAGATGACTTGGATGGCGATGCCTACAACAATTTCTAGACACTATTTTTTCGTATCCAATAAAGAGTCTTGGGTTACGGAGTGTCCATTTGTCCTGCTTCTTGAGGCTCTGTTATCTCGGGTTCTCGCTGAATACCTTGAAGGGTGCCTTCATGTTTCCAGGCACGAAACAAATAATAATACATGATTTCTCTCTCATGTCCCAATATGTCATTCTCGCTCTGTAGCATTATATAATGCTCTTTAGACCAACCAATGTTCTTGTAATCGAATGGACCTGCTTCTGGATCGCCACCCTCAGTCAGCGCTCTGTAACGAACCCCTTGCAGGGTATTATCTGGCAAAAATGCGATGAAAACATCTTTCATCCCTTTGGTCCAGCCTAGTTGTTTAGTTCCTCGAGCTGTGCATCTATATGGCCCCTGAGCCCATTGTTTTAGGTCTTCATGCTGTAAACCAGTCAGAACTTGGAACTCGTCTGCTTGTGATAAATAAGTAAAACGCACAAGGTCATCCTCAATTTGGCGAGCGATAGAATGGTCTTTTGGAGATGGTTGAGATTGATACAACAACGTCCACTCTTCTTTCACGTTTGGGTCGTCGAACCTAACTTTAGTCCAACTATGGTTGTTGGCGAGTCCGAGTTCGAATTGGGATATTTCGGGGTTGACAGGTCTAAGGGGATCTTCATATTGAACTAGCAAACGAATGGAGATGCTCCGGAGTGAGTGGCAAGATGGTTATAGGATTCGCCCATCTTTTAAATAATGCTTTTGTCTGCCATGTGACCGTTTGCAACTAGTCATCAGGTTGAGGCAATTCAAGGATCGCTAAAGATTGCGGCATGTGAATTCTCCGGAAAAACAATGTACCGAATTCCGCCGATATCGGTCCTATCTTGTTGATACGGACCTGTGGCATTGGAGACATCGCTCGGAAGCCCAATTGATAGCAAGAGAGCCTCTGTCCTCCAAAAACCGCAAGACACAGGGCGTCGAGTGCAGAGGTATCCGACATCATCCACTCTGTACTATGGTCGAGAAGTGTCCGTACAGCCTCAATGTGACCTTCTCTAGCAGCCAGGTGCATACAAGTCCAGCCAAATCGGGAGGGGCTTGTGGAGTCGTCAACTGACTTGGACGCTCTGGTGGCCCGGCTATGTAGGCTGGTTATCGCGTTCAGGTCGGCCATCTTGCCCATTCTGTCCGTTCTGTCCACTAGCCAACGCGGCATGTGTAAAATGATTCTACCCAAGACATGACAGTCTGTGTCTATTCCCTCTTTCAGAAGAATGGTGTGAATATTCGGCGCCAGGTAAAACAGCGCTCCAAGCACCCTCTCGCTGATAGTTATCCTGGACTCCTGGAGCCAAGAGTCCAGTAGTCTCGCAGAATCCCCGAACACTGATATCTAAAGCTGAGATGTCTTCAATGTGAAACCAACGCTGACTTGTGAGTGGGTTATTTGCAATATCTGCTGTGAACCATCATGGGAATTCAGTAGCAAGGCGACCTTCTTTGAAGCCACAGGGTCTCAGCTAGCGGCTACATAAAGACCGAAGAGTGGTTGGCATGTAGTCACGTTGATAGCGTGTCCGCTAGAAATACGACGTCTAAATTTGAGGTTCTGTTAGGACGGGATCACCTAACCTAGCTACTCATGCATTACCTGTGCCTTTCGGATTCGCTTGCGCTCACTAACTAAAGTTGGTGCTGCACAACTTGAACGGACATACTCATCTTAAACCCATCATTTTTCAAGTGCACATTCCTGCAGCTTTTCTTTTATAAGTTATTTAAGTTTTAAAAAAGTGATGCGTCTGTAAGGTGATGCGTCCGTAGTAATTCGTGATGCATCCTGTCAATTGCCTATATCAATTTTCAATTCTTGATTTTCATAACAATCCACAACGTTTTCCTCCCTGATTGATTGATTGATTGATTGATTGTATTTAACGTGGGGAACGTCCCTTATTAGGGCAAACCACGCCTCCCAGAGCCATACATCGCAGGGTTGTGGAGGTGTCAGTGTAACTATGTACATATCAGAGCCGCTCACTTGCCGATCCACGCTATTGCGGTATCGCTGCCAGATGATTTTAGTTCAGTATCCAACCTCGATTCCGTCGGAAAACATCCCCGTCCATTGCTATCCGACACATCAGTCCGCATCCTCCGGTAGAAGCAGACACGACTCGTTCCCGACCGAGTGTACAGAAATGGTGCGCGACCCCCCGAGGTTTCGTGTCATGACTGGACATGATTCAGGACCAGCCTGTTTCTAGCATGTCCAGGCAACCTGAGATGCCATTTCTGGGCCCCCTCTCTCCACAGCCTGGATGTCGATGTTCAGCTGGAACTGTCCACAAGCAGTAGGCGGGGTACGAATCTACTCCATTACCAAATGCGTCTCTCGATCGACTTCATCCTTCAAGTCGTAACGTTACAATACTGTCTGTACAGTAACAATACCGTACCGACAGACGACACATTTAGTCGCAGGCAGGACTCACTGATACAGTAGCAGATGACACATCAGTCTTGTCATGGTCACAGACACGGAGACGTTACGAAGTGAGCATGACGAACTACACAAACTAGACAAGCCTGTATGGCAACGACTCAGGTGGGGCTGTGCATATTCTGGGTACTGCAAGTTCTGTAGTGGAATCTCTGTAGTGACATTTCTGTAGTGGAAGCTCTGTGTTGGAATCTGTGTCGAAAGACACGTCTCTTGTATTCACTACTTGACTATCTACTGCGTCTCTGCATTGGCTCTGTCATCCTGTCAAGACTACGTTGCAGAGGATGGTGACGGCAATGGACAGACTCAATCTTTGCAAAACCATTTTGAGTCTTCGCTACAACAGGCGTTTCTATATATACGGTGGAATGAACCACTACCACGATACAATCTTTTTGTTGTCCTCATCATAATATATACTCCATGCATCTCAATATGGAGATGGGTACTAGGGTCGCGCCGCTAGCACCCTCTGTGCGCAACTACTTTCTCATACGAACCGTGGGCAACTTACTCAAGGAGATACCGAAATGATCGGCAATCAGATGCGCGTTTCCACATTGCCTGCATATCTTCTTTAGATATAAAGCCGGTGCTAGAACAGTTGACCGTGAATCTACCCTTAGAAGACCAAAAAAGATGTCACATAAATTTCAGAGAATTGTGGGGCCGATAATGATTCTGGCAAATCCGCTTTGTTTGGATTCGCTAGCAGAATTGCTCGATATGTCGACTGATAGCATTCTGGACTTGTTGGATTTTCTTTAGTCAGTTTTATTTTACATGTTCCGCCGTCGCCCAAACAGCCTCTTCCCCTACTACACTTATCTTTTCGTGACTTCTTGATAGACCCGCTAAGGCCGGAAGATCTATTTTGGATTAATGAAACAAGAAGTCCACCGACAACTTACGAGTTACTGCCTCCCGTGTGCTAAACAGTTCATTAAGGACCGATATATGGAGCTGGTTCTAGGGTATGTTCCCAGTTTTCGTTCCATGAGTGGTACAGTTTGGTAGATGAGGACGGCTTTTCCATTAGCGATCTAAAACCTGATGACCTTCTTAGTGGTGAACAGGATTGCGGACAAACAACAGAGGCTTCTGATTGGTCCGAGCTTCAGCGCACTTCTGCGGAGGGTCCTGATTACTGGCTACGGAATAATAACGTTATGGTAACCCTGTTCTCCCTTAACTTTAGTGTAAACTTTTTTGTCACCCCAGACGTACTAAAGATAACCGGAGCTTTTACCCCGAATTTAGCCATTATTGGACAGTATCAGCGCTAAGAAGGATACCTGTCTACTGTCACTGTAGCCTATTGGGTAGTCCCTTATTACTATGTAATACTTAGCCAATCTATGTGGTTGAGTCCAGGCGACTATGTCTATAAGCTTAGCCGTCTTCCTGGCGCAAAGATGTACGCCTTGAAGTCGATATTGCCATAAATACTATTGCGTTACTCATCTTGAATTAATTATCAAATGAACGGATTTCGAAGACAATTCCTGATGGATGTCCTCCAATTTGCGTGTTCCAATGGTATTTAAAACCTAAACGTACAGCACTATGAGACATGCCAAACGTCTCCGGGATTTAGTGCAATTTAGAGCCTCAGACTAATGCATGGTAACATTACGTCCCAGGTATTCCCTGGTAGACGGGCATCCCATATTATAGAGGTGTGCGAGGTCGAAAATCGGCATAGAGCCAGACGTCATTTGTGCAGTCGAGTCCGATGCCTTCCAGAAGGGTCGCATAAGCTTAAAGGCAATGGAAAGACGTGATTAGGCTAAGAGTTGCAGTCTAAGTAAAGTATTGGACTTGGTAATAACTGCACAGTTACTACACCGCACCCCGTGCCTGATCGCAACTCCTTTCGATGGTTGTTCATAGAACCTCCTGAGCCGAGTAATCGCTCGCGATGGACGGTCGAGAGCTTTTTGTACCCCCATGGTACGTGAGCGAAAGTCCTGCCGAAACCGACATGAATGTCTGCAGCATCATATGGGGCTTCTCTTTATGCTCCGCTCTCTTCACTGCTACGAAAGCGGTGCGGCAGTCATGGTCGGCTTACAAGAAGGACAGGTTACTGTCCACATATCTGGTATTGGTCTGGGCGGAATGGTCTGCCAGTGTGGTCATCTCGATTATAAGCTGGTTATTTCTAAGAGAGACGATACCACCTAGGTGAGGCCTTACTTCTATGCCAACAAATCATACTGAGTACTAACCTACTACTGGCTTCTGGATATTCTTTGTCATTCGTCAGTATCGCTTACAGTTGACGCCCAATGGCCTGCAACTAACATCGATTCAGTGTGTCTCTGGGTTGTGCAAATGCACTGCATTCTTCAGATCATCATCAACCGAGTTTCACTGGTCATGGTCAACAGAGTCCATGCTAGGTACCTGAAGCTCGGGGTCTTTTTCATAGTTCTGACGATCAACATCAGCGTCTTCTGTATCTGGATACCCGCACGTCTTCAGATCAACGAGACTTATGTTCGAGTAAATGACATATGGGATCGGATAGAGAAGGCTATATTTGCTGTGGTCGACGCTGGATTAAATTGCTGCTTCATGTGGACTGTGCGGACTAACCTCATTGCCGCTGGGCTTGTTAAGTACCAGCCTTTATTTCGTTTCAACCTCATGATGGTTTGTATATCAGTGGCCTTAGATGTACGTCCTGGATTACTCACCTCGATCTCGTTACATACTAATCAATCAGGTTGTCCTTATTGGGTCAATGTCAATAGGGACGGGCGTTATGTAACTTATTCAACACAATTTTGTTTACCCCAAAGATTAAAGCTGACAGGACCTACAGCTACATCCAGTTTCATCCTCTCGTCTACTTGACCAAACTCTACATCGAACTCAACATGGCGGAGCTGCTCGCCAAGGTTGTACGAGCCACGAACCCAATTACCACCGCAACCGATACAGGCGACACATTGTGTGTGCGAGATATCAGCATCAACAAATGCACACAGATGGGACTCCCAATCAGATCGCATCGTGATTATAGTATCAACTTAACAAATATGGGTAGAGGCATGGACTTGGGCGAGCAAGGGGTGCGATACCCAGGGATAGATTATCATATGGCGCTTCGGGCCAGCGTCTCGCATTCAGAATGGGGCGATACGACGCTTGGTGATATTTGATGCAGAAGAGAATTTGATCGAGCGCTTGCACGACTCACCTGGGGCAATTGGGTCATTGCGTCTGTTTCTTGGCCAGTTCTTGGGAAGTATGAGATTTACCGGACATTCCTCGCCATCTGGATATACCCAAGCCACAGCTTTAACTAGGAGGTCAAGTATCTTTTCATTTTCTCAATCTTATTAGGGGCGTCCTTCAAGCTTTTTTGGGCCTCTTTAGTGATAGACGTGCGAAATTTGAGCCTTGCTGAAACCGATATTTTGCATATCGATCTTCACCGTATTGTACCAAGAGGCGATATCCCCAATCCACTTTTAACCAGCCGATAGGCTTAATATTTCTCGGCCCACCACCGATATGATCAGTGATGCCAAGGTTGCCCATATAACTGGTTAGATCGTCCACATCGGAACCGGCACCATCTACAAATTTCTCAGTTGAAGGTAAATCTGTCGTATCACTGCCTTCATCTTTCTCAGTGAAGGCAAAGCTGTTGTATGACTGCCTTCTGAAGCACCTGCGACGGCGTCAGGGACGAACAGAGGCTGCCCGTTCTGCGGACCACCAACGTCGCTGTTCGCCGCCTGGTCGATAGATTCACGCGAGTTCAGTGAAGAAGACTCTTTTGGCAGTAACTGCTTCTGCAGAGACGCCAACTGCGCCTGCTTTTGGGGTCTTTGGATGCTTCTTCCTCAAGCTCACGTACTCCGTACATAACGTTACAATTCATGTCAATCACATGATGCTATTCGGGCAAGCGCTAGAATTAACCTCTTGTTTTCGAAGGGATCCAAAAATGGCTCTCGTGAATAATGATTTTCGTCCATGAGTGGACACCGTTTTCGTCACAGTACTCACTGTATCTGCAAGACCCCACGGAGCTCACGCTTTGGGATCAGAATGATTGGGCTAGAAGAGTACTTGGAGTATACGTAGAGGTCAGAGCCAGAAATGGATCGTCTGTGCTGAGAGTAGAGAAGAGAGAGACAAAAGGATGAAGCCGGTACAGACTGAATCAAAATCGGCTTTTTCTTTTCGACTGTCTTCTCTTCTCTTTAAGCACAGACAGTCCACTTCTAGCTCTCACCCAGAAGTATACTTTTGAACCTCTGAGTATCGTGGTGGCCGAAGACATCCTCTTTCTAGCTATAAAGCCTACACGCAGCGCTCATCGTCCACTTTTGATGATGCCGACTCATTATACGTTATATGGAGCATAATACTGTAACTCCATAAGAGCTCAATTACAAATCATGATCATCAGTTCAGAACTAAGTGTCGTCCGAAAGAGTTCTTGTATTATACTTCAGGGCGGGAGCCATAATTGGATCGTCCGTGCTCAAAGAAGAGAAGAGAGAGACGAAAAGAGGAAGCCAATTTGATCATGCCTATACAGGATTCCGTTTTCCTGGAGTCTATGGCTGGAATTACAAGTAAGGCTGAGTAGTGATAATTATCTTGTTACAGTAGACCTTGAGATGGCATCCAGGGGAAACCACGGGTGTGGACCCTGCCACATGATGGCTAAATAGACGACAGGAAGAGGAAAGGGACTATACCATGCTTGATGGCAGAGTCCCTCACAGTAACTACTAACCCATATTCATAGCTAAGCACTCTATATAGGAAAATGCGCGCCCATAATACAGTCACATCCATACCTTACACTGTTGGCCTGCCGTTAGGGTTGCCAGAATAGTGTCGGATATTGTCTATATTTTGGATATCATGAAGTTCTCAAAAGTGCTATCGTACGCTCTCTGCGCCGCGACTGTGGTTTATGCGCTTCGTTTTAAGCAAGACGCAAGTAATCCTCTTCCCAACGGAAGTTTTGATGGTTTAGCACGATATCTTTGGGAGGATGCACGGTCGGGAATTCTAAAGTCGCACAATGGTACTAGTTCCAAAGCCGATACGAAGACCTGGTCCGCGTCAACCAGATGATGACCAACACCATTCACGGTAACAGAATTTTTCTTCTTTGGCACCGATACTACGTCTGGACCTTGGAACAGACTATGAGGGATGAGTGTGGTTTTGGCAGAGCTTTCCCTTGGTGGGACGAAACTCTTGATACTGGTAATTTTTCTGGCTCTTTCATCTTCACGCCCAATTTCTTCGGGCCTCTTCCTACGGCCTCCAATGGCCATGGTACTTGCGTTATGCACTCGCGTTAAGAGAATGAGTTGTTTATAGGCGCAGTGACAGTGGTAGGGGTGTAACGGTGACAGTCACTAAAAAGAATTTAATTTCCGAACGTCTTATGGTGTGCATAGAAGTTGTGCCGAGCGGATCGTGACTTTGGATTCAGCATCTCGGAAGTTGAATAGGTGTGGCAGGACAAGATAAGCAGTATTTTTGTGAAGATATTGCGCTAGACTGTGTTGTTAACATGTAATGAATAGATTTAAAAATGCTTTCCCGTCTCTTGAATTAATTAGACGATCAGTTTCAGCATCATGGCCTATTACTTTGAGTAGACCAGTATGGCATGAACACTAAACGTCACCAGCTCTGCAGCTTCATTTTTTGATCCATCGGCAGGAACGTGACAGTAGCTCGGAGTTCTCCAACCCCACATTTTAGTGCAACTCAATACAGCCAAGTACTGGTCATGGATATGTTTTTGGTGTCTTGCAGTAAGCTAACAAGTGGTGATGCTCAAATTATGTAAATTACAGATCTTAGTGCGGGGCAAACATTGGATCAGCAGCCCATAAACTCAAACAAGCAGTATTCTCACGAGTGATAACCTTGAGTACCTTTGGTTCATCAAGTACTAATGCAAGAGGTGGTCATTGACATGGTTGGTGCCCTTTGCTGCCAGTCCAACCAATGATATCATTTCGTTTGTTGTACAGCTCAAAACAGCATATAATTGATCCGGAGAGTCTTTCTCCAACCTCCCTCCACCCCACCACGCTCACTAGTCAGTATGTCGCTGCGTCCCAGCTTATCCCGCCATCTTCAGTAACCCTTAAAAGCTTTTCCTACCCTCAGAATGCGCCCGTCACTTTTCCGCCCTCTCATCCGAGTCTCCTACTTCCAATCTGCCTTCACGCGCTGTTACACGCCGCTAAGCACGAGGATCGCTGCCATGTCGACCATTACCGAGGCTATTACCAAGGACCACCGTGAGTTGGAGGAATACTACAACCAAGTCATTAACTCAAATGATGCCGACCACCGGGTCCGCTACGGCAATGAATTCACTTGGGAGCTAGCTCGCCACTCTGTTGGCGAGGAGTTGATTGTATATCCGGCGATGGAGAAATACCTAGGGCATCAAGGCAAGCAGCTCGCAGACAAAGATCGGGAGGAGCATCACCATATAAGGCCACTCTCGCTGAACGAGTCCGCAATTCTGGTTATTAATGTCATCCTAGGTTAAGGAAATGCTTAAGGAGTTTCAGTATCTTAAGGGCGAGATCCAAAGTACGTGCCCAAGCTCAAGGAGCTTTGGAAGTCATTATCACAGCATATAAGAGAGGAAGAGAAAGAGGATCTACCCGCGCTCGAGCAGGCTTTACAGAACAGCAAAGGCGAGTCGGAAACGCTCGCCAAGTCGTTCAGCCGGTCCAAGTACTTTGTGCCATCGCGTAGCCACCCCAGCGCCGGGGAAAATCCCCTCTTTGAGTCCGTTGTGGGCCTAATGGTGGCACCCATTGACAAGCTGGCCGACATGTCCCGCAAGTTCCCTCAATAAATATGAGACTTCGACTATTGTTGAACAATGAGTGTTCACAATTTGATAGCATTCAGCGTTATTGTTTAGTAATATGCAGTTGTTCATCAAAGCTAATTCTCTGTACAAAGAGAGGCAATGTCACCTACTATTAGCACTCGGTAGATGAGATATCCTAGCTGAATCCAAATTTGTCGCATTGAAGACGAAGCATTCGAAGTGTGGTATAGTAGCTCGACTAAAAACAAATGAGCTATCAGTAAATGAGTGGACGCTGGTCCTTTATAGACTCAGCTCGTTCACCCTGTTATACGCGCGAGAGGACACTTATACGTCCTGCTGGAATTTCCCATCAAATATACTTATTCCTATGTCAATATCAATGGTGACTATTACCGCCAATTATAATACATAGATCAAGCTACCGAGGAAAGGCGAAAATCGTTATGCCAGTACATACATTTAACAAAGTAACGATTATGCCCAAGTTGCAATATATCGTCTCTCTTCATCGTGGTATCTGACAGCGTTAACCACCTCACTTGGAGCCTCCCTTATGACCAGCCTCCTGGGCATCTTCCTTGGGGCTAAAAAGGTCAGCATTATTAGAATCCAGGGCTTGGATGGAACGACCTACCGGTTAGCGAAGTTGCCAGGGTTATCACTAGCCAAAGTAGATGAAGCTTTGCCGCCCTTAGAAGCGATGTCGTGCTGTGGCGGAGTTGAGCGACGAGGGAGAAAGAGCTGCATGGGAACGGAGACACGTACTTGGGTCCATGCTTGCAAAGCCGCCCGAATAACTGGACTGGCCGCCCTTGGAAGCGATGGCTTGGACCTCCTCCTTGGGACTGACTTCCATTCAGTTGGACATGCCACAATACTTTGTGAGGAAGATACCTACCGGTTAGCAAAGTTACCGGGATTGTCGTCACTAGTGCCACTGGGAGCCATTACGATCGCTTTGAATGGAATCCTGATGTCGTGAAATGTAGTGCCTATAATGGTTGATAAGGAGAAAGCTGTTTGCTGATTGAGTTAATGTTTCATGTAACGGATTCAAGTTAGGATTAGAGAATATATACGCAACTTTTTTAATTCCATATCCCATGTTTTGTAAATACTTCTGTTGCTTGTACGTCGTAATAACGGTATATCAGCATCATATATAAACAATCGTAACGTCGTGTTTTGTCACGATGTTATGCTGACATTCCATTGTGGGGCCCTGATGCGACGCTAAAACACAAGAACCCGGCCCGCCGTCAAAGCCTGTAGCTAGTCAGAAGATTTGGAGTTCAGGAGTTTCAGGAGTGGATCCCCCTCCTTCTGCCACTGATGCAGACCTCTTGGTCCTAATCTCTTAATCATGCCTGCTCCTGAATGTGGTTCCGTCCTCAAGTGTCACAATAATGTAGCAATAGGCGTGAAGTGAACAAAGGGAAGCCGTACAGAACTTCTTGGCGCAGTCCCAGTATTGGGCCGCGAACCAAATTCGTACTCGGCGCACAGCTGTTGGATACCTCCGGCCAATGGCACACCAACATCCGTGCTGGTGTGGCATCACCAATACAATACTCGTCCGATGAAAACTGGTGACTGTATGGTGAAGAGGACTAAAAATGGCATCTGAGGTCGGCTTCTGGACATGCCAGAGACAGGAGTGGTCCAGAATCGTGCCCAGTCAAGACGAAGCTAATTGGGTCGCGTGCCATTATTGTACACTCACCCGCCCGATTCGTTCGTTGCATGCGCTTCTTCTCGTCCGGCCGCAAATGGGTCTTCACTGTTGGTTGGGACATAGTAACAGGCCTGGTTCTGAATCGTGCTTTCGTTCTGATCACTTCTGGGTCAGTCCATTCTCGACAGCGAGCACGGATGAGGAAGTGGTGACGCGCCTCCAACCAAGCACTGGCGCGACCGTTAGCGATCAACACTATGCTAGATTAGGTGGAGCTGAAAATACCGTGGCAAGCCCTACGCAGCTCAAAAATGGCTTATATCAATCAGCTCAATCGAAGCTCAAAGACAAGGAAATATCCCTGTTTAAGATCCAACAATGGCCAAATAGCTGGTTGTGGAACAGCATTGATATGTATACTGTACTGTATGTATGTTCATGCCTGCTTCGAGCTTTGTTTGCGCATTTGTCTGCCATTTTTGAGCCGCGTGGGGTTTGTCGCGCTAATCCGCCGCAATTAGGGGGCCAAATTAAAGAGCGGACCGATGGCTCGACCCACAAAGCGTTTCTTGGCCAGCAAGCAACCGCTTTTAGGGCTCAGCCAGCTCGCAGCCAACACCACGTGGTTTTGCTAAATGCATTTTCTGGAAGGGCCAATTCTGGCACATGGAAATTGGAACCGGACAATTTGATCTGCCAGACCAATACAACACAAGGTGACAGTTGTTCTGAGAGGGAATGAATCATAATTGAAATGGAGCGCGATCCGCGTCACGATGGCTGGGTTCTTGCAAACTACTGCAAGCTAGTGATTTTGTCATGCAGGTACATGCAACGCTATGCAAGAAAATCGTAACAGGCATGGTCGGTGTGGGACAGCTTGTCAAATACCACCTTTTTGGTCGTGCACTGAATTGGGCTTCAAACCCAGTGCTAGCGTGGGGACTGAAAGAGCCACCCACTACTGCCCTGGTCGGCATTTGGAGGCCGGAAGCAAACGAACACCCTTGTCTCAACAAGAGTCCTCATTAGATCCACACCATCGAGGAACAAGATTGGCCCCACGCAACAAACACGACTACGACGAGTACCACGGTCATTGTTGATCCATTCGCAACTAGTTGTGCACCCTCGATGGTCAATTGTTCAGATAGTAATACGTTACAGTACAGGATGACGTGTGTGTGCCAGCACACTTCAATGAGGCTGCTGTTTCTAGTTGTTGGGGCCAAAAACCACTTTGGGTTGTGCACTGAAATCGGCCTTCAATGCAAATGCTAGCGTGGAAGTGAAAGAGCCGCTTGCTGTTCTGGCCGACATGGGGAGCGGGAACCAAACCGAACCCTTGTCCGAACAAGAGCCCAAATTGATCCTAGGACATCCACGCCATCAGAATTGACTACGGTCAGTATTCATCCATTCGCAACCATTTGTGTGTACTCGACTGTCCAGATTGCGCTACGTTACAGGATGACGTATGTATGTCCGTTTATGTCACTGAGACTGAGGCCGCTTCTGCAACTCGGTGCCATTCATTCGTTGACAACATGCGCTCACGACAGAAAGCGAGAAAGAAACAAGACAGGAAATGGTCTCATGGACGAAGGCTGCCGATGAGGGCCGAGAAATGGATACGTTCTTGTTCAGCACAATGGACCTCATCGCGGCGGGTTGTTCACTTCAGGACCTACCAGCTGGGGACTGGTGGCTGGTGTCCGGTCCATGATCAAGCTCTGGGGTCCACTTTTGTCTCGATGGCGAACGTGCTGTTTCCGCACCCTCTGGCCAGATGCAGGATTGATCACCTCACTTAAAGTAGCCCGGCATGGCATGAGTCCTGTTTCTGAGTCTACTTTTCTCGTGCTGTACTCACGAGACCACTGTTCTTTCATCATGGAGACGTGGGGTCATCTGCAAGCTCATAGAACTTGCAAACGGCACGACTGCAGGCGCGAAGCTCTTGCAGAAGGCTTCACTCGCAGGGCTCGAAGGCGCTGGCGAGGAACATCACCTGTAGGCCCAAGCACTTCCAGGTGGGGGTCATCTGTAGGCTCGGAGAACCTCCAGATGACACGTCCGGACTAGTCAAAGTCTCGGACGGCTTCGCTCGCAGGGCCCGAAGGCGCTGGCGAGGAACATCACCTGTAGGCTCCAAGCACTTCCAGGTGGGGGTCATCTGTAGGCTCCAAGAACCTCCAGACGGCACAACTGCAGGCGCGAAGCTCTTGCAGAAGGCTTCACTCGCAGGGCCCGAAGGCGCTGGCGAGGAACATCACCTGTAGGCTCCAAGCACTTCCAGGTGGGGATCATCTCTAGGCTCGGGGCACTTGCAGATGGAACACCCGAAGGTGATGAAGAAAGAAGAAGAAAAAAGATTGAACTTCCCGAGAAGAAAGACAGGCTTATATATTCGTTTATTGTCGGCCTCCTCGTCGTCGGCCCACATTTCCCCATGTGTCTATGTGGAGGGAGGTCATATCTGGACGTTTGATCATCTGTCTGTCGTCATCGGGGACGTTCAGAAGTGTCCTTCGAAGCACAAGGGGACCCTTTCATGACTGGTCATGTTTTGGTCGTCGGTCACAAGTCGACACCTTCCATGGGCGCAAAAGCGCATCAGCTAAGCCATGAACTGAACTGGGTCATAGAATGTAGATTGTTGATCTACTGTATCACGACGAAGTACTGTATTGTACTGAGAAGCCATTTTCATTACTGACTGTATATACTGAATACTTGATTGTATGGACTGCAGGCTGAAAAAAACGAGCATTGGACGGCTATTCTACTGTCTTTGTTGAACTTCTTTGTGGTTGAAACGCGTGGTTGAAGTCTTAGCCGGCGGGAGCTAAAATGGGCGACCGCGTGGCTGCGGAGAAAGTGGCGGAGTCGCCAAACTCTATCGCGACGACGGCCAAACGAGTGACGCGAACGACGATGGTCACTGCAGCGGCAGCGAGACCTATTAGACGAACGACGGCTGGTAACACGATACATGTAAAAACCACGAGAGTCCATGAAGATGACGATCAAGTTGTTGCGGGGGACATCCCTAAAAAGGTGCTGGAAATGCTGGTGCTGTCTGCGCGACAAGTCAAGGAGTTGAAGGAAATGATTGTTCACCAGTCAGAAGTCATTGAAGAGATCAACGAACAGCATGCGACGACGCAGCAGAGCCTAACGGAAGTCAAGCATCAGATGGAGCACATCGTAGCAGAGTTGAAGACGGCACGGGAAGAACTGGAAGAAATCAAGGCTGGCCAGGCGCTGATCGCAAGCACACAAACGAGCCCACAGGCGTCCTATGCAACCATCGCACGAACACCACCGACAAGCCAACCCACGAATGTGCGCACTCTCAGCACAGCGAATACGACCCCGTCGAACTTCACCGATACACTGTTTTGCACGATTGATACCACAAGAGTAAGCGAGGATGAAGCGAACGTATGGAACGCCGGAACGACGCGAGCTGCGGTGGAGAAGGAGATCCGATCAATCGAAGGTCACAAGGACTGGCGATGCCGCGCTGTGACGATGGACCCGAAGAAGCCGCAAAGAGTCAAGATTGTCTGCCGAGACGATAGCGAACACGAACTCGTGAAGAAAGCTGCGGAGAAGATCGTGACTGGCGGAGCCAGAGTACTGCGTGACGAACTGTACCCGATCAAGGTCGATAGCGTCAACCGGACCGCCGTGCTGGACGAGAACGGAAACATTCGTCAAGGGGCGGCAGAAGCGTTCGGGCAAGAAAACGAAACGACAGTGGCTAAGATCTCGTGGCTGAGCAAAAAAGAAGTGCCAAAGGCGTACGGATCGATGGTAGTCTACCTGACCAAGGCAGGGGACGCCAGAAGGCTGTTAGCGGAAGGCTTCTTCCATGCCGGAGGAGAATCAGGCTATACGAGAGTGTTTGAGCGTCGAGAAGGGCCATCGCAGTGTTACAACTGCCAGCAGGTTGGACACAAGTCATTCCAATGCAAGAATACTCGGATCTGTGGAAGATGCGCCAAGGAAGACCACACTCACAAGGAATGCACAGAGACTGTTCTCAAGTGTGTGCCTTGTGGTGGCCCTCACGAGTCATTCAGTCGAAACTGCCCGAAGCTTTACCCGGATCGCCATGACTAGGAAGTTCCAGGTGGTGCAACTGAATGTGGGCCGACGGGCAGCGGCACAAGAGAGCTTGATGAACAACACGAATCTGAGTGGAACGGCAATCCTAGCTATACAAGAACCACGTGCGAGAAAGAAGGGAGGGAAATTAATGACG